ACTGTAATAAAATTACTATTTCACAACAGCATTAAAAGCTATTTTAATTCTCCAGCTTCTGCGTTATGTACTATTTTATATCCAAAGAATAAAAAATAAGATGAGGGCACACTGCCAAAAAACTCTCAAGTATTTTTAATGAGCAAGAATAAGCTTATTCCAGATGGCTGTTTAGAAAAAAAATTATTCAGTTCTTTGAATCTGTGCTAAACACTAGCCCCTGTCAATTCAGAAAATGTAAGCTCTTCGTTACAGCCAAAATTTCAACAAAGAACAGCACTTCTGTGAAACAGTCTCTGGAATGCTGTGCTACTTCAGCTTTAATTGATACATACAGATGAAAAGAATCTTGCAGGATGCTTGCCTAAAAACTTAACTAATAGTATGCCAATTTTATCACTGGTCCCATTCATTTGATGTCAAAATGACACAGTTCTGACAAATTATTCTGTAGCATGAAGTTATATGGCACCACATCCTCAGCAATACTTTAAAAAATCAGCTCCTTAGGGCTCTGATGTCATCTTCCAGGCAGATATATTGACTAGGCACAACAACAAACTATTCTTAATTTTCTGTACTTCAGTGTATACCCCCCCCAAATCCTGCAGTTGAAAAATTGAGAAAGCTAAATACTATTCAGTGTAACACTACTTCACAAAGGTCTGAACAGATCAGACCTGGTTTGTCTACTGTTCTTCTATATTGTGTAAATATATTTATCTCTCTGGGGCACAGAATAGTGTATACGATAACACCGATCAAGTTTTTAAAAGGAAGAGTGTAATTTGAAGTGTCATGTGCAAATTGATAAAGCCAAAACCCACAGCCAAAACTAAGCAAAAATAAACAGAACAGAGCGAGTACTCAATTTCTTTCATGACTCTGTAAACTTAGGCAGCCAAACACAGGGACCCGATCCACTCTTCAGGCAAGCATATTGAAATGGACTAAAATAATTGCTGTATATGTACTCTACCTCCTAACCTGTCACCTGTCAAAGGGTACATATTAAAAGTAGGCTTCTCTCCAAAAGAGAGAACACGTATCAGTGAGAAAAAGTTTTATACATACTCATTTTTTGAACTGTCATCATTAAGAACTACTTATTTTCACCTCCTTAGGGGTTGTAAAATGTCTGAAGTAAACTTGATTTCCCCTTCCTTCTCTTGCACAGACCACCTCCAAGCAAAAGGTTACCTTTCATACTACTTTCAAAAAGCACAGCTAACAGACAGACCTTGGGTTCATTATCTAAACACAGTTGTGGTAGTTTGAAAAACCTTTTTTTGAGGTAGTAATGGTTTGCCCCACTGATAATACTCTTACTGGGCCAATCAATAGTCCACGTGCGCCCTGCGGAAATTACATGCCCACAGAAACGGAAGAGAAGATGGTGAAGATAGTGTAGAAGGTGGGTAGCCATGATCTGAGACACGAGGAGGCAGGGGGCCAGTGAGCCCCTCTGGGGGCCAAGGGCCCCCAGCCCCAACTGAAGCCATGGGAGACCCAGTATAGTGTCGCAGCTGGACCAGGTCCCGTAATCAAGAGCTGGAAGAGTTTCCTTACTGTGAGCAGCAGCAGAAGACACTGAAAGCGGCAGTGGAGCAGCCCTGAACAGAGACAGCGATGGCTAAAAGCCAAAAGATAGCCAGTAGCAACGAGATAACGTGAAGCCAGCTGAAAGACACAGAGATGTTCCTGCAGGAGGGAGAGCTGGCAACAAAACAGAGGTGAACTCAACAGAGCTGGTTTAGGGTAAGACTATATTATTTTCCCAAAACCAGAGACTCTCTGAAGAGGAGGGGTGGACTTCCAAACACTTAGGGAGTCCAGAAATGCAGCAGCAGCTAGAGAGAGGGAGAAAGGAGCTGAAAACCCGGAGTTTGTCCTGAGAGCTGAGCCAGGACGGAATGCGGAGGAGGTGGCCGTGCCCTCTGCTGCTGCTGCTGCTGCTTCTATCATGCTACTGAGCTGAGACAGAGCAAAAGAGCTTTGGTAAGACTGAACTGAAAGCTGTCTTCAATGTTCTAACCCAAGAGGAGTGAAGATCTACAAGGAAATCCCCCGAAGGCTCGGGCTCGGGGATGAAATTTCCGCAAAGTAAGAACAAAAATCCTGACTGCCATATGTAAATCTGCTGCCTCAGGAAAATGAAGGACACTAAGCAGTGCCACAAAAAACTGAAATGAAGGAACTGTGGCCTGAGAGGTGATAGGAAGACTTCTCTCTTTTCTTCTTGAACTTTTATTGAAGAAGAGGAGAAATTTAATTTAATGTAAAGATATATGTGGGTGTAAATAAACCTTTGTAAATATTTTCCCCTTCCCCCCAATAACGAATGGTTGTGTTTTGTCTGAAAACTCTCCACATGGGGTGAAAAAGATATCAAGTCCATACCATCACTAAACACTCTCAGAGGAGCAAACTGTGGGAGGTGGGGAGGCTTGAACTTAAAAATTAGATTCTTGGGAGTTTCAAACCACCACAGCAGTGTAATTGCAAAAGTAAGTTAGAGCATTCAGGGAACTCTCACAATAAAAAGGAAATACTCTATCATGATATTACACTATTAGAAGCTTACAGGTCTGTCTCAGCATCTATGGAAAGATGTTCCAAGCAGACAGTGAGTTTTTCTCTGTTCCATATTTCTAGCATCACTTAAATAATTCAAATGGAAATGCTGATATAGATGAAAAAAAATAATTAACTTCCTTTAGAAGTTTTTTTTAAGAAATATTTACAAAACCCCTCAACTTTGGAACATTACATATAAAAAAATGTTGGTATCTATGAAATTGATTATAGCACTTTTCTCAGTTTTGGATTATCCAAGAAGTACAGACTTCTTAAATTTTCTCCTTTGAAACATCATCTTCACACACTTTTTCATGGAAACATCACATCCACTTTAGACTGATACAGGGGCAAATAAGAAGCTTGGAAGGCTACACCCCATTCTTTTTCAGGAGCAGAATTTTTCATGAAGTTTAATATTCTTATTTATAAAATAGGATACAAAATCATATAATAAACTTTAGTTGTTCAACAAAATGGAAAATGGGACTTGCCATACCCACAAGGAAAGGCCAGTCTCCAGCAGCCTTGAAAGATGAGTGTGACATCACCAGCAGAGAGTACGCTGGGGTGTCACATCCACATGGAGTTAAAAAATCTGCTGCACCTCAGTACTTGGAAAAAAATCTCAACAAAATTTAGAGCACACTACCAATATCTGAGATTATCTTAGTCTCTTCACTTACAACATCTGGAATGTTATCTAATTTTGAACATGTTTTAAACTTGTTTTCTAGGTCTTTTTCTTTAGTGCATGTGAGACATTGGATTATTATATTGGGTCAGAATAATTCATGTCGGGGTGGGGGAGGAGGGACAAGTCGAATCTCATGGAGGTGAGGTCATGCCCTGTTCCACATGCCAGCGCCTCGAGACTCACCAGGCAACTCCGGAGCAGCGGTCAGTCAAAGGCAGCCTGGGAGCACGGCCTATACCACACCCTGGAGCCCCTATCCCAGCCTCAGACTAGATGACACAGTGGGAGCAATGCCTCTTACCCCGCCCCAGAGCCCCAGTGGGCCAGAAATCCCACCTAGGAGGGGCGACCACAGGGGGTCAGAGCAGATAAAACCAAAGATGTGCTCTCCACATGTTCAAACCCACCATTTTTAGCCTCCTGTAGCTGGACCTACGCTGGATCTAGGAATGGGCTATATCTCTCCTTTCATCTCTCTTTCTTTTCCTTGTCTTCTAATTTCCTTTCTTAATATTTGGGATAGCAGGATACTGGATGGGTTGGCTTTCACTATGTTGTATGTGTTAGCATGTGCTAAGTCAATGCTTCATGGAATGCTTGCTTTGGTTGTATGCTACCCTTTAAACTTTTGCCGAGTACTCTTTTTTTTCCTAAATCTACCAGTAAAAGTATCCCCTGAGAAAATGTGTGTAGCTTTTCTCTTTTGTGCTCTCTCTTAAGGTGTTGAAAGAACTGAGGGCTCTTCTAATAATCCAGAGATATTGTTGGAGCCTTGTTTATTTTTAAAGTAAAACTCCCTTAGTGAGGTCGTAGCTCTGATGCTGGGGTCTTACAGTGTACTTATATTTGTTACAGTTCCATACAAATAAAAAGTCCATTTCAGATTGTAGGTAGAAGTTTTTATGCTTCTTTATAAGGAAGATCTTGTAACATTTTCTTCAAAGGAAAGAGTACTACCTTTGCTGTTCTGGCACTTTCAAGCACTGAGCAACTTTCAAGCAAACCTCTTAAATATTCTGAAAATTACAGGTAATAAACATAAATGAGCACCAGAGACAGAGACTTTACAACTTGAGTTTCAAAATAGAAGAAATTCCACTATTTTTTACTCTATTCCAATCTTAAGTCCATTTTCTCTGTTTGTGTGTTCAACTGCCTTTTACTGATGACAAGATATGAAAATATGATATCTATTTATATATAGTTCAAGTAAAACAAATCAAACTTAATTCTCCCTTAACCCACATAACTTTTTCAAAGCAACACAAAATATTGCTTCAAACCCAATGTATATTTTTCTCCTTGCAGAATGGTCATATGTTTTTCTCACTTTTTTCTGGCAATATCAGCATTTTTAAACAGGGTATTAGGATAGATATATACTCCGCATAAATTTACTTTGCAGAAAGTAAAAGAAAATTTTAATACCTTGTTTCCTCTCAGTACTCCTTATCACTTCTAAAGAAACCTAACTTGTTTTGTCCTCCTTTCCTAGATTTCTGAGAAAACTAACATTGTGTTTTTAACACACAGAAATCATATACATTTCAGAAAAATGTTTTATTACTTACCATAAATCAGTCTGCTTACTTGATAACATACATCTAGTTGAACTCTCTTCACTGTCAACAATTGAGCCAGCAGAAATGTGTAGTAACCAGATACCAAAACAAATGCACTGCAATACTAGCTATTTATTCGATTTGTAGAGAAAGTGGACTCTTACCCAGTTTTCTTTTTTCAGAGGCAAAAAGTAGTAGTAATGGCAGAAATCAAGTATCAGCGTATAGGAACTAAGGATCTGAGTGTAGAAACACAGCTGTAAAAACAGCCAATGATTGTCTTCACCAACACAGTTATTAATCCTGCAGAGAAAAAAAGTGTGTATATATAAAGAAGAAATACAAATACTTTCACACTGAAGTTATGATACTGTGAATAAGAGACTTTATGATTACTTTTGGAGCAAATGTTATGAACTGCTGGATCCATTGCACTGCCACTTAAAGTGTAAGATCAATGCTTAGAACTGGAGACACATTTATCTTTACTTTCATATAGCAGAGATACTCCTGCAATGTTAAGGAATACTGAACTCATAGAACTGGTTTTTTAAAGTCTGCAAAATTTCACAGCAATACATATTATCTTCTGCTACTCAGCACATTTCACTGGTTGTGAACTATGTAGAGTCCCAAATCTGGAAATGCAAACAAGTGGTTTGAAATAAATGTGAACACAGGTTACCCTGATGAGAAATAAATAGGACCTAGGCATTAGCCAAAGGAAAAGAAGACAAAACAGGTATCCCTATTCAAAAACTCCTTCTGCATACTCCAACATGAAGAAGTAAAGGAATCACAAGAATTCTAGCTATATTAAGTATAAGATTAAAAACCTTTGACACTTAGATATAGTCTGAATCACAGAAGTTACATGGATGCGATTTTATACAAGAATTAGCATGGATATCATTACCAAGCTAAGCCAGAATGACAGAAGCACTATGCTGGCACTATTTTCTGAAGTAGTGATTGACAAAAAAGATAGTTTGAAACATGGTTAGATTAACACAGGGGGATCCTGATGTCAATGCTGTCCTCTGCAGTTTGTCATTGCTGCCTTCAAAATTAATCACTAAAACAACAGTAGATTATTAGAACAAATGTCCTGGTTTTACCATGGACAGTGGTGATCCATCCTCCTCACACAATGTCCACAACGACTGCAATGGTGTGAACGCTTTGGTCTCATCATGTTGCATTTGTTACATAACTCCCAATATTCTCGTTCTAGGTGAAAATGTAAGACATATTAGAGAGGTTTAGACTCAGTACTGTGTGCTCATAACAAGTCGGAATGCTTGTGATTCTCATTTAAAAAAAATTCTTACTATTATCTGAGAAGGATAAGCACCACACAAAAAACTTTTCCCCACTGTGACCTTAATTAAACTGGAAGATATTACTGCTACTCTGTGTCAGTCTCCCTCTCCAAAGTCCTCTCTTTTCCTGTATATTTCTATGGAGCAATTATTACAGCACAAAAGCTGTGACTCACACAAGAAGGACTGGAACACAATTATTTTCTTACACTTCTACTGTGAAAAAAACCTATTTGCTAGACAGAATCATGATACAATCGCCCTTCAAAACCTCCTGAGGAAATACTGTTACTGCCTGCTAGCTAAAATACAGTACACAACAAATGCTTCAGGAGCATCTTCAAACCCAAAGCATTTTAATACGTGCCTCTCACCACATGCAGTTTTACACATAAGGCAATCAAAAAACAGGTAGAGGATAGGCTTTTATTTACAAATATACACTATTATTAAAGACCTAATGTGAGATTCTTTAAAAGCTAATCTCTGGAGATACTGAGTAGCTGAAAGTACTAGGAGCTACTATTGCTCAGCTTATATTTATCTCAAATTGCACCATCCAAATTAGAGGAATTCTTTGAAAATTAAAATTCAAATCATATGTTCAGAAATTTCATCTTCACATGGGAAACAAGTCACATCAACGCTGTAATAATTCCAGTCACAAAAACATATATTTTCTGTCTTTAAGGAAAATAGGTGGATGACTGAGAAATTTAAATACTTTGACTGGTTATTTCTGCCTAAATAAACTTTTTTTGATGCACAGAAATTCCTTAAACCCAGGGATAAAAGAAAAAAAAGAAAAAAAGCTTATTTTTACTGTGGAGCATTCTGAAATTCTATACTATAAAACACTGTTCCTATGTAAACAAAATAAAGTTAAATATAGCACTTCTGTGCCACCTGCAAGCAGCACTAATCTGGTCTTTCTTGCTGCAAGTAACATTTGAATACTGGAAGTAAAGAAGCCCAATATCTGAGATCATTAAACTAGTAATAATGACAGATGGAAACTGATTTGCAATCTGTTCCCATAAATACAGTGTCACAAAGGTGTCACTCACTAATAGGGTAGCTACCAGCAGAGTTCAGAAACACCCCAACTCATTTTTTAATACAATTCATACTGTGCAAAAATGTATCCTCCTGTCAACAGAGAATACCAGAGAACCAAAGTGCTACTTTCAAAAGTACAGAATCCCTGGTATAACACCCACCAAATCAAAATATCAAAGTCATAGTCTAGCCTCAATGTTCCATCTTCAGAAGTATCTATAAAGTAGCACTGCTGTATGGAATGAATGGAGCATGCAAAGGTTGGAGAGCTATTCAAATGGATACCTTACATTAGAAAAAAACATTTTTGCACAAAATATACAATATATTTGAAAGAACGCAAAAAGAATTCTTCCCGTGGAAAAATTTCCTAGCAGAAAGTCCTACATAACTGAACTTCTGGTGGAATACAAGTTTCGAAAAAAAAGCTTTGAGTCTACATCAGGAAAAGTGCTAGAAATTTACAAGTTTAAAATAGTGACATACTAACTTTAATCAGTAGAGACAGCTCATGGTTTCCATCAAATCTCACAAAGTCAAATTGATTCCTAATTATTTTGAGGAGATTAAAATAACTTTTATTCAATTATATAGAAATAACTTAATGTACCTGTAATTGGTATCTTTGGATTTTCAGGTAGCTTTCCGGGATCTGCTACTGAAGCTCTAAGTAATGAACCTATACAAAATAATGAGCAGAAGTAATAACCTAAAAAAAATAAATAAGCATTTGTTAGTCTTTTTCAGGTGTACAAAGTATCTACTATACACTACATCAAAAATATAGATGCTCCAGTACTGAGCTGGAAATTACTCAGCCTTCTCATTCAATTCCAGACATATTTTTGGTACTATACAGTCTACAACATTAAGTACTCCCCAGTCTTAAAAAGGGAGAGGAAAAGGTAGCAGTGAACAGATCTGATGGCACCAGCAGGATGCCACTATGACCATACTACTGTTTTTAAAAAGTTCCTCCACTGTCTATCAAATAAGCACCAATCACTCTACACCGCAAAGCCTCCACGTGGAAGGATATTCCCAATAGTGCATCTTCACTTTAAAGTTAGTTCCAGACATAATACAAGCCTTTTCCCCAGCAAGACCTAATAGCATAACTCATATGAGCTGACCCATCCAGGGATGTATGACAATACTAACAAAACTCAGTTTTTACCAGTCATCATCAGCACTACCACCCCAAATTCTTACAAGCACTAAGAGACGTGGACCTGAAATCCTGTCAACAAGTTCTAGGTACAGGATGTGAAAGCTGTATATTATTAATGCTTTTCACCACACAAGGATGTTCTACTATAACACCTCTGAAATGAAATGTCTCAGCTTCTCAGAACACAAAAAAGAATCCCTTCCAGCCATCCCAGTACTCTTATCCTTTATCTTACTGTCTTTATCTTTCACTTTATTTTTTATTTTCTGACATTTCTCATATATGTTAAATAGTGCCCAGAGATACTATTTTTACTAGTAGAAAAAACAGCTAAGTTAAAATTACTTACACAAAACTGCCACAACTGAAATATTTCCTTCTTCATAGTGAGGAAAAAGGATGACCTTTGGAATGAAGACTGTATTGTACAGCCAGACAAGGATAATTAGGCCCATGCAGCACCAACCCTGAGGGTCAACCACAAAGTGAATTCGTTGCCCCATTGAACACAAACAGGTGTCACGACCCAGGAAGAAAAGATACTCCTAAAGAAATAAAGAAAAAATTTTTATTTTTTTTTTAAGGAGTAAACTAAGTAGTATAATGCAACCTACAGGATTCCATATACATTCAAATAAGGAAGACTAAAACATGTCAGGTATTGATTTAAAGAATTAAAGAAAAACTTACAGACATTTCACAAACACGTTTCAAGTACCAGGTAGCAAAACATTTTATGATTTCATTAACTAGTTATATCTCATTAAAAAGTAACATTTATTATCAAGATGCAAGTATAACAACTACCTGTGAAAACTAGTAAGTAATAGGTAAAGCAAGCAACTGTCAACCAGGTGGCAGCAGCATAGGATATAAATATTAAAGAAAAGTCTTCCATCAAAATTAAATGGTTGCAAAGCAAACAAGAAATACAGGCAATGGTTTATGTCATACAAAGATTCATCCCACCTACTTATTATAGCCTCACCCCTAAATTTCAGGTTTGTTTTTTAAAGCTTTTATGGTAAAATAGTCAAAAACTTCACTAGGAATTTGTTTTTTCCGTGCTTAAAAAAATCTCTCTCATGACATTTATAGCAAACCCACAGAGAAAGAAATCACTACCCTAACGTCTTTCACAGAGAGCCTTCAAAGGAAGGATTACTAGTGTTACTTTTTTGTCAGGCTACCTTCATAGTCCTATCTTAATATTGCAACAGACACATAAATCCTAATCTACTCTCCTAGCCATTAGTTACCCTGATTTCTGGGCTTCAGGAACTTATCCATTTCAGATGGATTTCTTTCCATTCCTTTCAGCTTCTACTTGTTGCACTGAAATTTTATCAGTCAGGTATCTCTGTTTCCAAGGGTTTTGCTTACTTGTTTCATGTTTGACTGCCCTAAATTCTATTCACAATTTCCCTGTTTAATATTATTCATAATTTTCATTAATGTCTTTTCTTCTTTTTCTAGATCTCTGATCAAAATCAGACCCAAACAAGCTGTCATTTTCCCACACTTCTGCTTTGTACTATATATTATAACCCTTTGTTTGTATCCTCTAGGGCAACAGTGTTCCCATTCAGGTATAGCAGAGCGATGTGTTTCTCTTTATCCTAAAAATCCACCAAATTTCCTAAAACTTGCTTTTAAAACCATGTTGTATACTAAAAACAGCTATTGTAGTATTAAAATTGTTTCTAAGCTCATGACAATCATAAAATCTATTTAGGCCTATATTTACTGTTCTCTGTTAATATGTAGCATGCACACACCACAGGCTGTTACAAGGTATTAATACACTACACACATATGTACAGTCTCTAGACATAAAATGATGGAGTGCTATATTCCTGAATCTGCCAGTTCTTAAAGTGTCTCTGTTGTAAGCTGGCTTTGGTAACCAACAGGTTTAGAACAAAAAACCATTTTATATTCTTCTAAGCGTGTACTGATGGAGGATCTGTCTCCACAAGCAGATAAGCTGTGGGAGAAGGTGAGCAGACTGTACAACATCAGGGATGCTGAAAAGGAGATGGACCACATCCCCTCCAAGTTCCTGCAGTTACAGGAACCCCCGCTGCACCAAGGAGAAGCAGACAGAGCCTCCGCTTGTCAGGCTGAACATGGAGACACAGAGCGCAGTGAAGTCTGGGAGCCTGTGAGCTCGAGCGCCAGAAGGAGGGTTCCTGCTCCACCTGATCCACAGAGCAGGTTCTGAGCCCTGGCAGCAGACACAGACAGGAAGCTCTGTCCAAGGAAGCCTCTGAGCCTCTGTGTCTGAGTCCTGTGGCAGTATGGGAAGAATGGGGTAAGGAAAAGTGGTGGGAAACTCCTGCTTCAGGGACAAAAACACCTCTGCCAGCCCAACCTGTCACCTGGCAAGGTCTGCTGCTTGCCAGGGGCCTGGAAACCATGGAGAGGCTATTACGGAGGCTGGTAGTAGTCTGGCCCTCAGGCTGTTACCCCCAGCTGCTCTTCATAGAGGCACCATGGATATAGCTACGGCAGACCAGAAGTATACTAGGTATGGAGTAAAAGGCTCACAGGGTGTTGGCCAATGCCTGGTAGCCAAGTGGTGTCTCGTTCATCCTGCTGGTGAAGGGGGAGAACTTGAGGATGAGCACACAGATCCTGCAGATGAATGAGTGGTTGTGCAGAGTGTGCAAAAGCTAGTCAGCTTTTATATCCATAGGATCTTCTATGAGGACCAAGAACTGAGGGGGAAGAGGTGCAGGATCCACCTGAAATTATGTGTAGTAAAAGCATCTTTGCCAAGAAGCTGATCAATCTGCTAAAGGAAGGCTTAAACTAGGAATGATGAGAGAGAAAGGTGGTGACCTCTGAATGAGCAAGGAAGTGGTGGTCAGGGTTTGCAAGCAAAGGATGAAGGATATTGTGTACAACAGAGATCTTACAATCAACCAAACAGAGGTGAAGTGGAGCTACATCAAGCGTGTGTACACACCTGATACAGGAACACCACTTGGGTGCACTAGGATGGGATTAGGAAAGCCAAAGTCCACCTGGAGTTGAATCTGGTAAGGGATAGGAAGGCCACAGAGAAAGTCATGTACAGGTACATGAGCAGCATCAGGCAGGCTAGGGGAAACACAGGCCTGCTGAAAGTGGCCTTCTTCGCACCTTGCTCTTAACGGGTAAGACCTGCTTTCCGGAATCCCAGGTGCCTCAGACCAGTGGGAAAGACTTATTCTTGGGTAAGGGAGGATCAGATAAAGAAATCCTTAGGAAAATGGACTGAACACTTTCATGGGACCTGATGAGATGCCACCCTGAGTGCTGAGAGAGCTGGCCCTGTCATTGTGAGGTCACTCTCAATTATTTTTGAAAGTTTTAAGCTGACAGGTGAGGTTCCAGAGGACTGAAGAACAAGTGTCAACCCTGTTTTCAAGGACAAGAAGGAGGATCCAGGCAACTATAGGCCTATTAGTCTCACCCTGTTCCCTGGGAAGTGAAGGAAACGATCCTGGAAACTACTTTCAAATACATGAAGGACAAGAAGGTGATTGGGAGTAGTCACTGTGGATTTACAAAGGGAAAATCATGCAGATTGACAGAAACACTAGAAACACTGTTAACCACTGAGGAACCCATCTGTTTTCCATCTTACGAGAGCAGCAGAGATTCCATGACTTCACAGCACTTCCTCAGAATGGGAAATCACAGCTCAACAAACAAAACAGAGAGATATAATTACAGAAATACTTGCTTCCAAGTGACCTACTAAGTATAATGTGTGAGCAATAGCAGTGAGAGAAATTCCGAAGAAAACAGTAAGAGTGCCTGTAACAGAAATATACCCCAACTTTTTATCACTCGGTGACTAACTTTTGCCTGCATGACATTATTCTTTTATAATTAAAAAAACCTCAACAAACACCACCCACCCTCAAACCCATACTTTTGATGTGAAGTTCCACAATTAAGTTGGAATTACACAAATAAAGGTCCCAATCTCAAGAAAGAGCAATTTTTCATCATCACCTTCTGTATCTTTTCTGAAAGAGAAAGAAAACAGTGTGATACTCAAACAACCATCAACACTTGTTTGATAAGCAGCATATAATAGGCTACCTTTTATTCTGTTTTGCACACTTCACCTGACTGAGTAGAGCTTCCTCTGAACTGACATGCTGCTTCTAACTAGCGTGCCTCAAATCTAGGTTCTAGGCCATTTCACAATTTTAATATAGATTTAAAAGGATATGTGTGTTCAGACAAAGGTCCATATAAAACTGCACTACTGTCAATGTATTTCAGTTACGTACAGTAACATACATTTACTTCCCGTGTGCCTATTTTAATGTTAAATTAAGTTTTATGTTTGTCATTATACTTTTGTCAGCAATATTGAATAAACAATGTTAATATATTGACTTAGTCCAGCAAAGTGAACTTCTCTTCTCTCTCAGTTTACATACCATGTATAAATATATAAGGTGGGGGGAATGAAAAAAACCTAACGAGCACAATCTGATGGCTAGGTAGGAAGTACTAGATTAAAATTTAACTCACAGACAAAGTGAATTTATATCCTTTTCTTTTTTAAACACATTTCAAATGAATTATATTTATTTTTTCAAATATAATGTCAAGAGTAACGATTACTGATCTCAACTAATTTTGATCTTCAGGATGCATAATTTCTGATCAGAAAAACTACAATATGTAGCGGAAAAAGTCTATGAGCAGGTTTAGAACAAATCAATTGAAAGAAACAATTAAGTGAATTATATCCGTATACAGTCAGTATTCATACAAGCAATGCCTAAAGTTTTTCCAATTAAATAATTTATGAGAAAATACACAACACTAACGTTAGAGGTTTTGTAGTTTTCTTGCCTCATACCCTAATTTATAGCCACTTTTTCTAAATATCTCAAACAAACATCTCAAACACAAAGCATTAGAAGGCAAACAGAAGTTGTACCTCTGGAAAGTTTCAGATTTACCAAACCATGACTGAATCTTTCCTGCATGATCAAGAATTATTCTTGCCTTTCCAAAAAAATACTTTTATTACAGGATGCCTGGACAACATTTTTTCCTAACCCTTTTCTTTCCACCCAATTCAATTAACTCCATTTTTTGTTCACTACAATCACCTGCCATACGACTGCTCATGTGACATTCACTGAATAATGAGACCGCAGAATGCAGGCAGAAACTCAATTCCAAGAAATAAGAAAGCTTTGCTCTAACCAGAAATGTTATCATGATATTTAAATAGCTTTAACAGATTCATTTAAATGCAAACTTAAGAAAAAAAGGTATACAATTTTGCATCAAGATGCAAAACACACTTAGAAAACTGTGTTTCATAAATAAACCTAACAGGAGCAGTACTCAGTTTCTCACACTAAGAAGCATGACAGCCAGCTCCTTGCACATTCATGGGTGTTGCACTGATCCATAACTAGAAACCATGTCTCACTTTAGCTTTCTCAGTAAGAAAAGTAAGACTTCTGAAATCTGACTTGCAGAACTTTTTTCACAAATCCTTAAGTAAGTCCAGAATGACACAATCAGTAATTTATTGTACGCTCACCATTAAACAGTTTTAAGACCCCATGCAAACTGAACAATACTATGCCCCATAAAATACACTTCTACAGTGGAAAAAACCACCACTTTCTAAAAAGGCTGTACGCTAAGCAAGTCAGACAGAAAAAGGAACAGACAATAGAAACACAAGAGACACACCTGTCATAATACTTGTGTTAGCCAAGGAAAGGCCGTATCAATCAAGAGCCTCCCCTAATTTGTGGATCCGGCTGCAGTTTTAGACAACTTTCCCGAAATCTTAAGAATTACTGCCAAAAATTACTGATATAAAACTAAAAATACACTTCAACAGGGGAAAAAAACCAAAGTGGACTTGAACTAATCAACAAAATTACTTTCAACTAGATTTTAAAGAAGTCATGTTATTATCAAGTGTCAGAATGGAATTACTATTATGTCTTTTGCAGCTCTTGCATTTAAAAAACCTGGTATCTGCATAACCAGCTAACACAAGCCAGAGAATATTTTTGCCCTGACAAAACCCCACGCACCTGGCCTTGCCCATGTTTATGCAATGGATGGTTGTCAGTACAGATCTCGGCACTACACAGTCAGGTGGCTGTTGACAGGTTGGTTAAGGTAGGCAAGATATTCCCAACCAATTATTTTTCATTGATAGGATCTACCAAAGTGCACCTGTAAACATCCACTGCATTCACAAAAGATGTTACACGGGCTTGGACACCCACGTGGCTTGCTATTCATGTATACCCACTGCTTCTCATGATCACAAATCCCATGAAAACTATGCTTGCCCACCGCTGACCAAACAGCCACTTCTAGACAAGTAATGCGTGTTACTTGAGCACATCACTGTTTGGATCACCAGTGTGACGGGAACGAAGACCCGACTAACTACTGGAGCTGGGAAATGAAAGTGTGAAGCCAAGGCAGGCGGTGGCCGCTGCCCCTCCTTGTGCCGTGCTGCGGGAGCACACGCCAGCCGCCCCACGCGCCTCGCCCACGGCACCTCGGCGGCACCAAATGCCCTCCTCGCCACTCGCAGTACAGCCAGCACTCCGGAGCTGCCTGAAAGCGGCAGCAGCACTTCCCTGTTTCACACCTGGGGAGAGACTCAAGCCTGCCATGGGTTTCTCTCCCCAGCTCTCTGCACACCCAGCAGCACTCCTGGAACTGAGGTCCAAAGGATGGCGACACGGGACGCTCCAAG